AACTGGAGTGTTGGGACAAGGAATAATGGGTTCAAAGTGAAAGGGGGGAGATTTAGGTTCAGTATATGGAGGAAATCCTTCCCTGTGAGGGTGGGCAGGCCCTGGCACAGGTTGTCCAGAGAAGCTGTGGCTGCTCCATCCCTGGAAGTGTCCAAGGCCAGGCTGGACAGGGCTTGGAGCACCCTGGGCTGGTGGAAGGTGTCCCTGCCCATGGCAGGGGGTGGGACTGGATGATCTTTAAGGTCCCTTTCAACCCAAACCATTCTGTGATTCTGTGACTTAACAATTTAATGTGTATTTTATGAAGGACTGAGAAGTGATGTGACAGTTCTGGATGATGCTGACATCTCAATAATCACCAGGATTTTGTCTCTGGTTGTGTTTGTAACCTGGGATGGAAATAATTTCTCAGTACCTCCACCCTCTCATCTCTCAGGGCAGAACAGTGATGGAAACAGGGATGGCTCACTTGAATTATCTGGTCTTACATATACCCCAGACCAGTCTGCTGCTTAAATAAGAAGAATGATGATTATTCCATAATAACTTAGTGCCAGGAAAATAGACAAGGGACACCTTGTCCCAGGAGGCAGCAGTGAACTCTGAAAACAGGTTGACACAGCCTGCAAAGGATGGATACCTAAAAATGGTGGTTGCTGCTCCCTACCTTCCCCAAACTGAAGAACACCTTGAAAACATCAGCTGGTGTCTGTTCTGAACTGAATGATGCAGCTAAAACGTGGTTGTGGCACTGGGTGACTTCATTCTGCTCTTGGCAACTGGGAATTCGAGCACATTCAGGAGCCTCTGTAGGTATGTCCTTTGTTTGACTGATTTCTATAATGGTCAACCTTTTATAGGTTTTATATGAAATAAGTGTAATTACAAAGATCTGTTCCCATCAGTAAAACCAGTTTGAACTGTTTTGCAGGAATTTGAACTATTTCTTGTTAATCCACACACACACAGCTAATAAGGGAGCACAGGGGTTTTTTAATATCCTATTTATATCAGCATATGTCCTAAAGAAGTTTGGGATATTTCTGTATTTATAGTAAATCATAGCAGTGTGTAGCGTGAGGAAAGAGAAATCAGAGGGGGGGGAGAGTAAACTCTATTAATCTTTATAAGAGAAAACATGTCACATGTAATATCCTTGAGTTGCATCACCATCTGTTTTTTTTTTTTTTTTTTTTCTGAAGCCCTTGGAAGTGGTCCAGCAGATGGTAGGGCTGCTGGAACCTGCTCCCTGAAGCATGGTTAGATGTCTTCTGCTGCTTGCTGGGCCACAGCTGTGGGTTTGTGCACCAAAAACTCGTCTCTTTGCAAATGTTTTCTTCAGCTCACAGTGAGAAGTTTGTGTCTGAACCCGCTGTGCTTCTGCTAGAAGTGATTTGGGATTGTTTGGAGCCTTCCACTTGTGGTGGCTCTGTGGGATTCCAGGGTGGCTCTTCTGTTTGGGTTGGGGCTTTGTCATCATACAGAGTTGTCCTTTCCTGCCTGTACCTTTCCCTCAAAGTTTACCATTCTTGCTGGCTTGATATTCCCTCCTCTTCTGTTACCCTTCCCTTTTATTTCCCAGTGCCTGTGGAAAATGAGCTTTTAGAGAAGTCTAGCTCTGGAAAGCTGCTCAAAGCCAGGGTCTCCAAAGCCCAGTGTGCAGCATTCCTGCTGGGGAAATGCCATCCTGGGATGCAGAACTCAGCTGCCAGAGGGACTGGAGAGCTTTGGAGGGACATTCCAGCAGTGACACCAGGTCACTTCACTGGATGCTTCTTGCTCTGAGCCAGAAGATCCCCTCCAAGTGTGTGCTCCTTCTTGGGAGCCTTCTCATTTCCAACTGAATGGTCCTGGGGAGCAGTTCACAGGTGTGAGGACATGCCAGTGCTGTCCTTGAAGCCCTGACAGGTCTTCTCCCTCTGTGCCCATCACCAGAGCCTTTCCCAGTGGTGCTTCCACTTTTTCCCAGCATTGATGGTCGCCCAGTCGAGCTCACTTGACCGCTTTTTGACCACCCCAGGAGCACTTCTGTGAAATTCCTCTCATTTCAATTCATCTTTCTGCATCAGATGGTCAGGACTGGCTGCTCCCTGAGGGGCAGCAGGATTTCCCCATGTCCTCCAGAGGTACTTCCATTCTGGGATTGTATTTCTGCCTTGCCTGGCTGAGTGACACCATCTGAACATGTGCAGGTGTTGTCCTGAGGAGCTCCACGATCCAGCAGAGCAGTTTATTATTTCCCATGTATATATATATTTTATAGGACTATATATTTGGTATGGCTGAACCTCATTCCATGCTTATTATCCTTCAAAGCCATCCAGCCTGTCCTCTCAGCTATCCCAGTCCTCTTCTGTATTAACAGTTCTGGTCAACTTCCCTCCCTTCCCACAACATTGATCACTGGGGGACTCTTCACATCAAACCAGCTTCCCTCTGCAAGAAGGTGGCAGGTCTGTAGGCTCTGGAGTAGCAGGAGGTGTCTTGTGCCTGGGTTTGTTATAAGGCTGCTGATGCAGTCGAGAACACGGTGCCTGTGCCAAGATCCACACCTTGGAGTGGGAAAAACAGTGTTTTACCTTGGCCTTCCTTGGAGTCTTCTAATGGCCTCCATGAAACTACAGTAAATAAATGTGGGCTGGGTAGCAGGCTTTGAGTCCTGGAGCCTCTCCACAGGAGTGGGATGGTGAGGTGGGATTGATGGTGGAGGAGGAGGAGTCTGTAGGAGAGACTTGCCTAACCTGTAAGTATTTAACCTTTCATTAGCAGACTAGTTTGGGTTGGAAGGGACCTTAAAGACCATCAGTTCCACCCCCCTGCCATGGTCAGGGACACCTTCCACTAGACCAGATTGCTCCAAGCCCCGTCCAACCTGGCTTTGGACACTTCCAGGGCTGGGGCAGCCATTGTATTATAACAGTATTATTTATGTTTTCAGCCACTGCAGCATTTAACAAGCTTTAGTGCTTAAATATTGGGTTCTGGCCTCTGGAAAACCTGGCAGAAAGGATTTTTTGACTGTAATTTTTCTCCTCTGCACATCAGTGTTTGGATAATGTGCATCAAGTGAAGTTTTTAAGCCTTGTGCCTCAGCACCTTCCGTTCTGAGGGAGCATTGATCTGAAATTTCTGTGGCCCTCAGCTTCTCAGACTCTGTAATTTATTACCATTGTAGCCTAAATTGAGCAAGAGCTCATGAATTGACCATTTTGAGCAAAAATGAGCAAAACTTTGCCTTCTGCTCCACGAGACGAGCCTTCAGCTCCGTGCTGCAATTAAATCCCCCACCCCTGCTATGGGGAGGCGAACAGATGCAAACCCCAGAGAGTCAGAAGCTCCCGAGCCTAATAACGCTGGGTTTGGTTTTTTTCTCCCCCCTCCTGTCAGAAATATTCCCCGTGTCTGTCGAAAGCTCCACTTGCAGGGCCGTAACATCTCTCTCTGCCGTGCCTGGAACAGATGCGTGTGTTGTAATATGGACTGCGAACATTGCCATCCCATGTGGTTCTCATTCCCCCCATTCATCTTTGAAGCTAATTGGTTGCAGGCAGCCCCGATGCGTCTGGCTGGCCGCAGCTATTTGTACTTTCACTCTGGCCGTGGCGCTAATGGTGTGATATATAGAACATGAAATAAACTCTCGTGACTGCGCGGGCACAGGCGCTGCGCTCGCGTCCCGCTGCCTTGGGCTGGGGAGGGGGAGGAGGGTTTTTAGAGGGTGGGTTTTTTAATCCTCGCTGGAAATGGTATGAACCAGCTGGTGCCTCCAACAAGAGCTGGTGGAGCTCAGGAACGGCGAAAAAAGTGGAGTTTGTTTGCCCAGCGTGGAAGGTCTTGCAGTTCATCTGGACCTGCTGGTGCGGCTTCCTGGTGAGGTCTGGGCCTGGCATTGCTGGAAACACCATGTGCTGTCCTGTCTGCCTGTTTCAATAGTGGGAATGTTGTAAAAAAAAAATAGTGGATTAGCAAAAATAGTATTTTAAGTCATAGAGTTGCAGAATGGTTTGGGTCAGAAGGGATCTTAAAGCTCATCCCATTCCACCCCCCTGCCATGGGCAGGGACACCTTCCACCAGCCCAGGCTGCTCCAAGCCCTGTCCAGCCCGGCCTTGGACACTTCCAGGGATCCAGGGGCAGCCACAGCTTCTCTGGGCAACCTGTGCCAGGGCCTGCCCACCCTCCCAGGGAAGGATTTCTTGCTAAAATTTATAGATAATGTCTTTCCTAGATAATTCCATAATTTTCCCATGACTCAACAGCATCATGTAGGGAAATTATTATTCCTGTTAAAAAGGCATCTGTAAGGTTGCTGGCTATTCCTCTGATCCTTCTCTCATCTCTCCTCTCACCAACTGTGGAAAAATGGCACTTCTGTTGGGAATTTGCCTTTCTCCACCACCTCAGACTCAAAGCAACCTCGTTACCTTCCATTTGTTATAATTCCATCTCAGTTAAAGGTGGTTTCAGTCATCAGCATGTGCTAAAACCCAGGTTTTAGAGGGATTTCAGTGATGAACAGCAAGGGAATATCTGGGGAATTTTGCAGTTCATTCCCATCCGTGATTAATTCTTGGGGAAGCAATGGAACATGTTTCACACTTCAGCCTCTGCTCAAAAAGTCCTGTCCTTTCTCAGCTTCACTATAAATATTTTCTCTTCGTGCTAGGGAGCTTCGGGTTCCCATTGTTCGAAACAGCCAGTTCAGAATAATTCTTTGCTTTTGTGTTTTTTTAGTATTTTTATTCTTATTTTTAAACAACTTGGCTCGCAAGGGTTCGGCAGGGGGTTGGACCACATGATCTTTAAAGATCCCTTCCAACCCAAGCCACTCTGTGATGCTCTGATATTTGGGTTACTGCTGTCAGCTCAGCCCATTCCAGTGCAGCTTCATGGGCCACAAACTCATCCATTGTCCACTTGGAAAATGAAATGGCAATGGGGATTTGCTCTGCTGAAATGATCCCTGAATTTCACCAGTTTTCTTCTTTTTTTTCTTTGTAGGTCCAAGCTCAGTGAAAAACAAGAAAAAGGGTAAGTTTGAGTTTTAACTTAATTTTCCTTTCTGTGTTTGTCACCCAGCTGTGAGTTCTCTTTGGACAACACAAAGGAGAAACCAGTGACAGCTTCCAGCTTTGGGAAGGGCAGGGGTAACACCCACAACACCCTTAAAACTTCCCTAAACACCAAAGGAAGTTAATTATGTTGTAGGACAGCAATCCTGAAGATGGTGTAATTAGAGAGTGGAGTGGAACTGAGTCATAAACCAGCATCAGGAGCCACTTGCTGTTTGCCAGCCTTGGCTGTCATCCCAGTCCTGCCAACCTGCGGCCTGGGGTCCCCTTCAGACCCGCCAAACTCACCGCAGACACACTTTGCATCCCCCTTTTCCAACACCTCTTGGTGGGTTGTTGGGATTTGGGTTATCCAGGAGGCAGCCCTGTGTTTCTTGGATTGCTGATGCCATCCTTGTCTCTGTAGGACTCCTGGGGAACACTTATGGTCCCACACTCCCCGGAGCTTGAGTGAGTCCCAGGATCCGAGTTGCTCTGTCAGCTGTTCCTCGTAAATGTGCTGCAGTCTCAATTCCAGGGAAACACAGTCAGTGACCTGGTTTTGCCCCTTGTGACCATCCAAACACTTCTGACAGTGCTTTGAAAGCTCACAGTGGGCTGTAGGGGTGTGTAACTGGAGGCTGTGGTGTCTCAAGGCCTGGGGAGCTCAGCTCATGGAGAGGCTCACACGCCGTGTGAGCAGCACGTGGTGCTCCTGCCCGAGCACTGAGAGCTGCAATGGCAACTCTGCTTGCTACCTGTTGTAGCTAATGTGTATTTAATTAACAGAACAGTTAGTTGTTCAGCAATTTTCTGTGTCCCTCAAGAGCCCTTCCTGCTCCAGCCCACCATCCACAGCGGGAGCAGCCGAGCTTTCCATGCTTGTCCTACTGTAGTAACCCGTCAAATCACTTTAATCCTCGGATGCAAACTCCAGATCCACAGCTGAGAGGAGGAAACAGGCCACAGTTAGAGACTTCATTTATACTGACTCTCAGAAGCAGCATAAAATTTTATGTTGGAGGAGTTTGTCCTAACAAAGCTCAGAAACCCTCAACCCACATTAAATCAGCCCGGCTAATAACAACTGATGGCTGTGGCGTTCAGAGCAATTCCAGAGGGGCAGGGAGATCTCCTAGAGCTGTGTTATGTACAGCTGTATAAAATAGTTCAATTTTATGGTATTGTCACATTTAATTCTTTCTAGAGTTACAGCTTATTGTTTGCTGGGAGAGGATTAGGGAGGACTCCCTGGTTCTGCCTGCTCTGAGTTTCGGAGCCTGCCTGGTATGTGGGTATGGACACCAGGAGACTTGGCAGGCTGGGATTTGGGTGCTGAGACCTTCCCTGGAGAGCTGATAGGAGGGCTGAGGTCCCCTCAGACAAATAAATCGAATATCTTTTACCTTGTGAGTTTAATAAGGGAGATTTGTTAATGCAGAGAATGATTGAGCTGACTTGAAGGAGGGGAACGCACAAAAAATGTGGGATGTGCAATTGTCTCTCACTGCTCAACCAGCAGCTCCCTTAGTAGCAGAGCAGACTTCTGAGGCAGATGAGTTAAACCAGCTGTAATTTGTATCCCTCTTGGGAAGGAAAGCCAGGAGTGACAGCAGCAGCATTCCCGACTCCCCGCGTTCGATCCTCCCTGCGGAGAGCCTGGACTTGGGGGGGATGTGAGTGGGAGGAATTCAGGGTGTTTTAGGGGAAAGAGGTGATGGGTGTGATTCAGGGTGATCAATTCCTGGGCACATCATCAGCCCAAGGAAGAAAATGGCTGGATTAGGGGAAGGCTGGGTTGTGGCCAGCGTGGATTGGAAGTCACGGCTGCTGATCTGAGCAGAGGTGTTGCTGTGGAGATTTGTCCCCTTAAACCTTCCTCCCCCCGCTTTTTTTGGACACCAGAGTTATTTTACTCACCCCTGCTTACTTTAGCTTAGTTGTCTGATGTTTATATTGCCCTCACAGTTGCTCCACACTGGTGTCCATGTGCCCATGTTCCTGGTTAATGGCCACCTAGAGATTTCCACCCCTCCTGACTAAAATAGATGGATTTCTCCCTACAGTTATACCCCATTACAAAGATGGATATTAGTCGAGAAACAAGTACATAAATGTACTTGGAAACTATTCCAATAACCATAATTTCATATCCCAACTGCTGCTGTCATGTAGCAAAGTGTTTAATTCTGTCCTACTGGGGACCTTGTGGCAGCAATTGCAGTGATTTTGCTCCATTTACGCTCTTTGGCATAAAAGCTGTTACAAACTGGCATCTTAAGAACTGCATCAAAAGAACATCATTTCTGTTGGGGACCTGGAAAATCAGCTGAGGACAAGCCAGGCTCTCCCTGCAGACCTGTTTTCAGCCCACTGTGTGTTTGTGTGAGTAGTTACTGATGTGGTTGTGCCATTTCTCTTCCTGGGGCCACATGATGTGTTTGAGGATCATTTTAAGGGAAAAGGTTTTTTCCATGAGGTTGGTAAAATACTGGCACAGGTTGCCCAGAGAAGCTGTGGCTGCCCCATCCCTGGAGGTGTCCAAGGCCAGGTTGGACAGGGCAGGGTGTGGAAATAGATGGTCTTTAAGGTGCCTTCCAACCCAAGCCATGCTGTGATTCCATGATTGTAACAATTTTCCAGTTCTTCCACCTTCGTGGTGGGGTTAGGCCTGCCCTTACCCCTCCCTCCAGAGCCCAAAATATATTTAATTATTTTGAGGCCCAAGCAGCACAGGGTTTCCTCCAGCAACGCTGGAGCTCAGCTCTGAACTGCCCTCTGGAGGAGACCAAGCCGTGGGGATCATCTCCTAATCCTGATATGTAGCAGGTAGGGAAGATTTCCACTGTTTTCCATCAACAAATGGGAAACTGGGAAACTGTGGAGTGGTTCACCTGGACTCTACCACTCCAGCCTTGGCTGGGTGTGTTGGAGTGTCCGTGGGTCACATCCTGGCTGGATCCAGAGAGCATCCTGGAGCCATCTCCTGCAGGTCCAAGTTCCCCGCAGGTGCAGAAGGTAAAACACCTGCCCTCGTGTTTTGTGCAGAAGGTAAAACGCCTGCCCTTGTGTTTTCCAGGGAAGAAGGCTGGGCCTCCAGGGCCCAACGGTCCCCAAGGGCCGCCAGGTCCCCCCGGGCCGCAGGGTCCCCCCGGCATTCCCGGCATCCCCGGCATTCCCGGCACAACCGTCATGGGACCGCCCGGCCCCCCTGGCCCGCCGGGCCCTCAGGGACCACCTGGACTGCAGGGCCCCTCAGGTGAGAGCTCTGCCCCTGCTCTGCTCGGGGCTGGGGACTCAGGAGATCCATCCAGGAATCCAAGGGCTCCGTGTCCCACCCGAGGAGTGTCGGGGTGGGATGGCACAGCATCCTGGAGCGAGGCTCGGCTGCCCTGGGGCAGGCTGGATGGGGCGTGGAGCAACCTGGTGGAACAAGATGAGTTTTAATGTCCCTTCCCACCCCAACCAGTCTGTGATTCCGTGATTCTTTGCATCAGGACCTGGAAGGTGGGAACCACAGCAGATTCCCACCCCTACCTTCCCTTCCCTCCCCTGCCATCCAGAGAAAAATGGTTTTCTCCTGCAGTTCTTGGTTCTGTTTTTCTCCATTTCCTTGTATCTGCACCCCATTATTTCTCCACGGAGTCATGTGGTGATTATTTTGCTAAAATCCGTGAATTTAATAACTCCTTGAAATGCAGGTCAGCGGACATTCCCATCAGCAGTGTTTGTTTATATATACATGGGCAGTTCAAGATTAATAAACACGTCTCCAGGGATGTCAGGCCTATTACCCTGTAGCTCACACGGCTCAAGGGAAAACTCGGAGACCTCTCAGTTCTCCTCTCAGAAATTGTGGAAGGTGTCCCTGCCCACAGCAGGGGCTTGGAACTGAATGATCTTTAAAGATCTCTTCCAGCCCAGACCACTGTGGGATTCTGTGATCCTTAACTGCCTGAGCAGAGGCAGGAGCAGCAGGAACCCTCAGCTCCAGCATCCTGCCACAGGCATCTCCTCCTTAACGGGGCTTTGGCTCCCGGAGAAGGGAGATTGCAGCCTGGAGCTGGGATGCAATGAATGACCTGAGCTACTGCAGAGGGAAACTTGTCATCTTGGCAGCCAAGAGGCTTTTGGCCACTGCAGAGCAGGGAAAGGGTTGTGCAATTTTTCCTTCTAGTGGAAACCGGCTGAATAGCGGATAAAATTTTTAATTTTGGTGACGGAAATGCGGGAATAAAACAGGGAAATGTAGAGTGAATATTTGTCTTCTTTATGTATTTTTTATACTTTTTAATATTTATGTTTTACATATTTTAATGTTGCCTGCACCCCATACTTGTGGTGCTGTCCTCCCCCTGTTAATGATTCCTATGGGGTAAGAGAAGTTTTCTTTCTGTGGGGGTTTAATGGTTATTATGGGGTAAGAGAAGTGTTATTTGTGGGATTCTTCACTCAACTCTCTTCTTCAACGACGTGAAATTGCCTTTTGCAGGTGCCACAGACAAGGCCGGCTCCAGAGACATCCAGGTGGGTTGATCTTCCCAGGAAAAAGCCCAGCCCTGGGAGGGGGTTTTTGTAAACATTTCCTGGCTACATTTGCTAATGCTGTGCTTGGTGTTTGCAGCCAGCTGTGGTCCACCTTCAAGGCCAAGGCTCAGCAATCCAAGTGAAGAATGGTAAGGATCTCTTGATATTGGTGGTTACTGGAAAGGGCCCATCCTGCACCCATGGCCTCGCACCTGGCTCTGATTCCATCCCATAACAGGGCTCTTCCTGGGATCCTTGAGCACCTCCAACCCTACCCACAGCCTTTGGACCGTTATCTGAAGCCCTGCTGAGGCATTTCACATCCACAGGCAGCTCCTTGCTCTCCTCCTCCTCCCTGAATCCCCATCCAAGTTCTCCTCAAGTTGCTGCTCTCTTTGCCATCAGCTGGGGCTCATCCATTCCTGCTGCCTCCCTGCTCTGGCTCTGCTGCAGAGGAGCTGGATGTGTTGTCCCCTGCCCAAGTCCCCTCGTGCAGCTCCCTAGGAAGCACAGACAGCCCTGGGATGTGTCCCCTTATCCCAATCTCCCAAGGGTGGGGGCAGCAGGATGGGGCTGCAGGACCCCTGTCCATGAATTCCTGCCTCACACGTGGGATGAGGAGGGCTGGCCACTGCTGCCGTGGGAGGGCAGCTTCTCCCTCAGCAGCTGTGAGAGTGGGAGCTGGGATTTCTCATGGATAGGACAGTGTGCTCCCAGCCCCCCCCAAAACTCAAAGGAAACCACCCCTGCCCAGGAGCAATACGAGGGGAAAGATGCCGTTTGCTTGCATTCAGAAAGCACTGATCCCTTTATTGCTGGGAATGCTGAGGGTTTACAGAGGGCATGCTGCTGTCTAAGAGTGGGAATGCCCTGTGAGTGTCCTTCCCTGCTGCTCAGGAACAATCTGGAGCTGTGAGCCAGGGATTGTGTCCAGCTGCAGCCTGGCGGGCTCGGACGGGGGGCAGGGAGCGGAGAGGCAGGGACAGAGTGGGATCTGAGTTGTCCCCCAGTCCTGCTGTTCACTGCAGGAAATGGGTGTCCCCAGCAAGGGGCTGTGTGATCAGGGCTGGAGAAGAGTCCCAGCTCTCACACCCTAGTCTGGAATTCTGGGGTTGTCCCACTGAGTTCCCTGACTCTGCACCGTGTGACCCCGGCAGCGTGACTGTATTTTTGTGCTCCCACGCTTTTCCTCTGACAGGTACTGAGTGACTGCCGTTCTCTCATACTGAGATCTTTCAGGTGGAGTCCTCAATGACTGGTCTCGCATCACTATGAACCCCAAGGTGTTTAAGCTGCATGCCCGCAGTGGGGAGCTGGAGGTACTGGTGGACGGCACATACTTCATCTATAGTCAGGTAGAAGTGAGTACGGTCCTAGGCTAACTCCTATTCTTGTGTTCCAATGGAAGCCTTGCATGAACCACGAGAGGGCTCCAGACAACTACCAAATGCCAACAGCTTGTGTGTCCTTGTAACCGCTTCAGCTCTGGGGGTGTGCCAGGAGGACTGCAGTTTCACACTCGTTTCGCCGTCACAGCGCCCTCAAGGGCTTAGCTGTCCCCATCCCAAACCCCCCAGTGCCCTTTGGTTCTCTGTGCAGTCGCTCTCCAGCCCTCCCAAACCTCCCTGCAGACAGGACGCTGCACTCTGGGCTGTAAAGGATGTGTAAGACCCAACCCCGGGCAGTTCGTGGTCATTTCGAAGCCACGTCGCTCTCTGCAAGCGCAGGACTCTCAGCCCAGGTGGTTTGCCCAAACTCCAGCCCAGGTAACTCACCCTCTCCCATGTGGCCTCATCCCACACGTTGCACCAGCAGCAGGTTGGCTCTGCTGTCACCTCGGTTGGTCCCGACGATGGATGTCCCCACCTGCTTCTGCAGAGAGGGCTAAACAAAGAGATAAACTACTGTGTTCTGACTGAGTGTGCAGCTAAGAAGGCATCATTTCCTCTCCCCATTCAAATCCAGAGCAGGAGAAGGATTGTCATTTAACACACTGCTCCTGGTGCCTCACAAATCCCTGATGGGAATCGCTGAGCTGTGTGGAATGTGAGCCCTGCTGTGGCACTCGGGTGTCCACCCATCCACCCACGGGCTGAAAACTGATTCTGGGGCCGATTTTAGCAAGACAGGAGGGTTTCTGTGTGACAACCACAACCACCTTCCTCCATGCATCTAATATCACTCCTGCTCAGTTGGCAGCTCCACTGGGACTTTACCAGGTCGGATAAAGTGGGCTGTGATGTCAGGTGCTCTTCCGTGGAACTGCTGACGTGTCTGATTTGGATGGGGACAGGAAAAATAACTCCACACGGGCCAAAGTTGTTTCCCAAGTGCCTAATGCTAATTGCTGCCATGGTGTTTGGCCTCTGAAGCCTTGTCATTTGTGGTCCATCGAGGAGAAAAAGGGATTCAGTCTTGTGCAGTTCCTGAGGTCACAGGGTGTAGACTAGGAAGAATAAGCAGATTCCTCCAGAATGGCTGGATTTCCTCTCTCAGGAAGGAGCAGCTCCCTGGGACTGACTTCTGCTTGGACAGGTCTTCCTCATGCAGTTCTTTGGAATCAGTGTGGGAGAGGATTAAGTAAGGCACAGTCGAGTCACAGGGCCTTGGGCACCAGACCTGGAAGTTAAATCAGTAGGAACACTGTAGGGTGATTTCCTTCCAAGCTGTGGAGGTCGGGAGAGCGCTTTCCCTGGAATAGCTTGTGCCTCTGGAAGCACCTCGAGTCCAGTTACCCAGGAGGCAGCTCCCAGTACACCTTTAGGGCAGTTCTGATGTCACCACTAAAGGAGGCTCATGGGACCAGGAAGCAGGACTGGCCAGGTAAGTGCAAGAGGCCTTCAGGCGAATGTGTCTGTCTGTCTGTGGGATGAGAAGCTGTCTGTGGCACACAGGGTGCTCTGCACCGGGGCCTGTGCGGGTCATTTTCCCTGTAATAAGCAGGATTTGTAGCTCAGCCTTAGACACGTGGATTCAGAGGTTCTTGCATGCTTAGTCTGAAGCGGAATACAAGAGTTTCCTGGTTGGCTTGGGGTTCTTCTGCCTCCCACAAGCCAACCTCCCGTGAGTACAGGTGTGCCAGAGCCAGGGAGGGGCTCGTTAGCGAGGGAACACCGACAGGAATGTGGACTTGCTCCCCGTGCACCAGTCCCCTCCCTAACACTTTTCTTCTCCCTGCTTCACATCAGGTATACTACATAAACTTCACAGATTTTGCCAGCTATGAGGTGGTGGTGGATGAAAAGCCCTTTCTGCAATGCACTCGGAGTATTGAGACCGGCAAGACCAACTTCAATACCTGCTACACAGCCGGGGTCTGCCTCCTCAAGGCCAGGCAGAAGATCGCTGTGAAAATGGTCCATGCTGACATCTCCATCAACATGAGCAAGCACACAACTTTCTTTGGGGCCATACGCCTGGGAGATGCACCAGCATCCTAGAGGAACTTGGCATGGCCAAGGACACTCACAGAACTGCACAGTGCTGCTGTTCATAAGCGTATCAGTATTTCAGGGGGTTCTGTAATCCGGCCGTAAAGAAAACTGATCCAGAGCTATTTATTCCTATATGTGAATGCGGGAAGCACAATTGTCCTCTGGGACTTTGCGTGGAGACTTGGATCAAAAAAAAAAAAAAAAAAAAAAAAAAAAAAAAAAAGGAAAAAAAAAAAAAGCTGGTTGCAAAAGCATTGTGAGGAAGAAAGGCCGTTGTGTCTGCCTTGTCTCAGTATTTCAAGTATTACTGCACTGATACTCTGCTCTGTGATCTTCACACGAGGCTTGTTGGGAGAGCTGTGGGTCTCTGCTTTTATGTTGCACTAGCAAGAGCATCCCAGGCGGCAGCGGGAGCAGACAGACTCCTGTCCCAATTGTCCCAGCCAGGCGCTCCTGCTTCTGCACGCCAAGGAGAGCGAGGAAGGGGGCTGCTGGTTTCCTGCCTTCCCAGAGGGAGCTGGAGGGAGGTGGGTGAGACAGGGTCGTGGTGTTTACATTCATCCTCAGGAGCGCGGGCGAGGAAGAGCCTCTTGCCAGAGCTTGGAAGCAAAAGCAGGAAGTGCGAGAGGAAGAGGAATCCTTACTAGAGCAGGCTTAGCAGATAGGAAACTGCCTCCACATTCCAGAAACCGCCAAATCCCAAAGAAAACGCCGGTTCCCGGGTCCAGGCCTCTGCTCCTTTCAGCTCCTGCCCTTTTTACCCCAGAGGTAACTTTGCCCCGCCGGGGGCTGCCTTAAAGTACTGCTGCTGTTACAGCACGTTCTGTTTGGTCGGGGGTATTTTGTTTCGGGGGTTTTTTTTTTTGGTTTGTTTTTTTTTTTGTTGTTGTTTGTTTTTGTTTTGTCCTTTTTAATTAATATTTTGCAAAACCAGAACACATTTCTACAGGCTTCACCGAGCCGCGTAGAGCAGACACAAGTACTTGTGAGAACACTCGGAGGAAGTTTGTCATGTTTAAGAATAAAATATTCAAACAGGAAATTTTTTTTTTTCTGTTTTAATAGCAACTGTCCTGCTTTTGGATGTAGTTTTTAGCCTTCCTCCCCCCACCCTTTTCTCTTGGCACCCTTCTACCTCAAATAAGTGGTGATGGAGTCTCTAGCAAAGAAAAAAAAAAAAAAATTGTGTTTTAAAATCTGGTCCAGCATGAAGTCACCACTTTTTCTTTTCCCTGAGCCCTGCTGAGTCTAGTCATAACTCGATTTCTGGTGACTAATAGAAGAGCTGGGACACTATTGTTTCTTTTGGCTTCTTGAGCAACTCTCTCCCGTTACCTCCCCTCAGCTGGGGAGACCTAAAGCCATAAGATGTGCTGGAGCTGAGGAGAGGCCGGAGCGCAAATTGCTCTGTTGTGTCAGCCCTTGGCTCACGTTCCGCTGGGCTGGGGTTTTGTTCCCCTGCATTTCTTTTCAGAGCCTGTTCTTGCTTTCAAGAGGGGAGTGAAGTTGCAGCCTGTGTAGCAAATGAGACAAGTCCCCAACTGGCATCTTCGGCCGGGAGAAGGGAAGGTTTTGGGGAGACCTCAGAGCCCCTTCCAGGGCCTGAAGGGGCTCCAAAAGAGCTGGAGAGGGACTCTGGACAAGGGGTGGAGTGACGAGACAAGGAGGAATGGCTTCCCACTGCCACAGGGCAGGGTCAGATGGATACTGGGAAGAAATTCCTCCATGTGAGGGTGGGGAGGCCCTGGCACAGGTTACCCAGAGAAACTGTGGCTGCCTCACACCTGCAAGTGTTGGATGGAGCTTGGAGCAGCCTGGGCTAGTGGAAGATGTCCCTGCCCATGGCAGGGGGTGGAATAAGTTGATCTTTAAGGTCCCTCCCAACTCAGCCATCCTGTGATTCCATGATCTCAGTGCTGGCTCCACCTCCACGCAGAGGTGGCTCAGCCCTGGTCACCTGCAGGGACGTGGCAGGGACGTGTCCCAGCACTGCTGTGACCACAGGAGCGTCTGCCCTGCCTGAAGCATTCCTGGCTCCATCCCTTTTCCGTAGTGAGTGATCTCCCTTGCCAAGTGTTGCAGTTATTGGGAGATAAATATTCCTCGGGGGCTCCCGGCGTTGGCCGCGGCCTCGCTATTCACAGGGGCCCTGCAGTTTGTAAAACAACTGCGTGACAAATGGGCTGCTCTTGCTTTTCAAGTGGGTTCTCCTCCCTTCAACCTCAACATGTTGGACTGGCAAGAGCCTTGAGGGCTCTTCTCTGGGCTTTGTGGTTTATTTCCTTTAAAATGGATTAAGAAGGACATGTTCCCCTGACAAGAATGAAGGGGGACAACTGTGTGTAGTGAGAACATTAGGCAAATCGTTAACAGAATTGCTTTAGAACAGGCCTGAGCAGCAAGGCTGGGGGCAGGCATAAATAACAGGGACTTTGGGAGAGCTGTGGATGGAGTTTGCATTCCTTGTCCCCCACTGGCAGGATCTGGGATGTGCTCCATGGCTGCTGGCAGGGGGACACAGAGGGAGAATCCCTTCTCTCCATAAAAGCCCTGCGCCACTGTCCCCTCTCTGGTGCGTGCCTGGGAAGCAGGAGGGGAGAGCAGGAGGGAGTGAGTCCTGCGTGGAATGTGTTAACAGGCTTTTTCTCCTGCTCACTGCACTGAAGTGTGAGCTCGGTGTGGCCGAGCTGGAGAGCAGAGAGCAGCTGACTGCAGGTGGCCTTGGCAGGCAGAGCTTTTTCCTGCTCTTGACGTTCCCGGTGGGATGTCCTTCGGCAGCCGCTCCAGGAGTTTCCATGGAAGGTCTGTACAGCCACAGCAGTGTTGGCTGTGCTCCTGTGACGGACAGCAAAGGTGAAGCATCTCCATGCTCTGGGGGTGTGAGAGGCACTGTCCCCTCACTGGGCTCAGAGCTGCTCCGGGTCCACCTTCCTGCTCTCGGCATCAGGGGAATGCGTGGAAAGAAGCCCAGATCCGATGGACTTGGATAACCAGGTACCTTCCTGCCTCCCTAATGCCTGGGCTGGGAGCATCTGTCACCCATAGCTCTGATGTGGGCAGGGGGATTTAGCCTCTCTTCCTCCACACCTGTTGCTGTGTCCTGCTGCTCACTCCTCACGTTCTTTGAAAGCCTCAGGGGGATCAGACCCCTCTGGAGCCCTGGGAGCCAGCGTGGAGGGCAGGAGGGACAAGAAGCATAGGATACCCTGGGGTTTCAGGAACAGGTCTCTCCCTGTTTGTTCTGTGAGGTCCACTCTGCCTTTGTCACAATTCCAGAAAAGCCCCTCAGTGCTTGCTGGTTCCTCAGCTGGCTCTTGTCCACACCCATTGCTCCTGCAAAGGGAGTTCACAGCCTTGGGATGTGAATGCCCAGGGATTCTCCACAGAATCAGGGACTTTTCAGCTGGTTCCATGGGCCGAGCAGACCCATGCCCAGGATTGGGGGTGCAGGAGGAGCAGCCGGGGTTCCCCCGGGCAGGGCCGGGGCCGGATGCACCAGGGCTGGAGTGGTGGCCAGTTCCTCTTCTGGGGCTCCACACTGGCTGCTGGTGGGAGATGAGGGCCGAGGGTTCATCCAGAGGTCGGCGTTTCCCTGGCAGGGTCTCACATCTGCACAGATGTGCCGTATGCTCTCAGCTGCCTCGGCCCCATCACCGCGGGGCATCAGCCCAGGACACCAGCCCTGGCCTCGGGGGGGGCTGTCACCCTGTCCTGCCTGCTGGGGACCTTTTTCCTGCTCGAGGCTGAACCACATCCTGACATGACAAAGTGTCCTGCACCACACCAGCTCCTCAGGGGGTGAGGGGCAGCTACAGCAGAAACCAGGCTGCTGCTTCTTCCAGATGGGTATATGTAGTTATATATATGTATTATCTGTGTTTATTTATTTTTGTGGTTTATGTCTATATAATTGGGTTTTTTTTTTCCTGCCAGACACCTCTAGGAGTAGAGCACGAACTCCACAGCTGAAACTCCCCATCCCTGGGTGACCCCTCGACAGCAGGAGCTGCTCCTTCGGATGGAATTGGCCACACGGGGCCAAAACCCCAAAGCTGTGCATTTTGGAGAACACCCCGTGAAGCACGAGGAGCACATCCCTGGGGAGTGTATCAGCACTAGGTGGCAGAGGGACACGGAGATGCCACTGTAAAAATGTCCCTGTGGTTGGGATGCAGCTCTGGGTGCCCAGATCCCACCTGGAGCTGCCACAGGGACAGTTCCCGTCTGGTTCCTGCCCTGGGTGAGGAGGAGACCCGGCAGCCGTCCTGGTGGGGACATGGGGATGTGGCAGCGAGGAGCCCTGGCAGCACAGCAGACTCTGGGGAGGAAGAGGAGAATGAGTGAGATCCCAGATCCACACATCCCACTGGGAAGCGGTGCTGAATCCCAGGGAGCCGTTGTCTCCCGAGCAGGGGCAGGTGCCGCAGGAGAGTCCCCCGGGCTGGGCTGTGGCAGCTGGGGAGGGGAATTTCTCAGCGTGACGGTGCTCACCTGCGGCCCGGGGATGCCGGGAATCCCACGGTGACGCCCGATGGCCACAGCCGGAGCCCAGTCCCCGGCTCAGGATGGCCACGGAGCCCTGGCAGGCTGCCCCCGGTGCCCTCGGCACCAGCTGCCCGACAGGAGCTGGCACAGGGCGCAGCCTGTCCCTGGCACAGGGCAGCTGCTCGGGGGAACTCCCCCAAAGCCTCTCGGCTCTCCCAAGTGCCACTTCTGCCTCCTGGCGTTTGATGTCACTCTCGGTCACCCCGATCACCTGAGCGCCCTCCTCCCATCCCGCTGTTTCCCTTCCTTGCAGTGCTTTCTGCACTGTTTTTCCCCCTCTTCAGGCTCATGTCTTTCTTTTCCCACTTCCGTTTAGCTACCAACACCCACATGCCTTATCTCCTTCCCCCATCCCATCCTGAAGCCTATTTATACAGAGCCTGGCTCCTGCCCAGCTCGCCGGAGAGCGCCGGAGGAGCGGGACGGGGCTGGCAGCGCCCGCAGCCCAACATGCTCTTGGCTGAAAGGGGCTGTTTGCTGCTCTGGCTGCTCCCGTCCATCCTCAGAGCCCGCTCTAGCACGGATTCGAGGCCCAGGTCCATGCTCTGCCAGCAGGTAAGGCTGTTTTCCCAGGAGCACCTGGGCTGGGACGGCTCCAGCAGCGTGGCTGGGGCTGCGAGCATCCCTCTGGGTCTCCTCCCCATGGCTCTCCCCTCCCTC